AGGCTGGTCAGGTCACACTGGCTTCCCTGAGTCTAGATCACCACCAGCAAGACTGAAAGAAGAGTGCCTTCCTGCCCCAAGACCTCTGTGCACTTGGCTCTTCATTTTTAACCCTCTCTGGGACAGATCTCAAAAGCCAGGCACACATCTGTAATTCTCAGTGTCACACTGGGGCACAGGGGTGTGACCTAAGACCTGGATCTACTAGGCAGGCTGAGCAGGTGAATTCAATGTCATCCTGACCAACGTAGTGACATCCTGTCTCAAAATAAAAATAAAAATAAAAACCAGTTGAGGATGTAGTTCAGTAGTAAAGTATCCTGGGTTCCATTCCTAATGCTCCAAAATCAAACCAAATCAAAAGAAAACAAAACTCAACTCAGGACAAAATGCAAATGATATAGGAGACTTAAGATGTGATCTTTCTGGAGTTTGCTTTTTTTTTTTTTTTTTTGTATTTAGTACAGGGTCTACAGGGCCTCACTACACAGGTAGGACTTGAAGTGATCCTCCTGTTTTCAGATGCCCAAGCACTGGGATTATAGGCACACACCACCACACCCAGTGTCAACTGCTGTCTCAGCACACCCGAGGGGCAGGGCCAGCAGGGCAGGCTTGGGATCGAACCTCCGACCTGTTTCTGCCTAAGCAGGTGCTTTCATCTGCTGAGCTATCTGGCCGGCCGGCCCTATAGAATGTTTTCTTTTGACCAAGAAGTAAGATCAATGTCAAAGGAATTTGTTACTAATTTTGACATTTCGGGCATCAGATAAGGGGGATGTTAACTGGCTTGTGATGTTGAAAGCAATCCCAAGAATCACTTGTCATTTAAGAAATATGTATTAAGCACCTATCATATAAAATGCACTGGAAACAGTAAAGTATAATACAGACACTGCTCCCAGAGCTACAGCTTAGTTCAATTTTTTAATTTCTTTTTCTTTTTTCTTTTTGGAGGAGCCAGGGATTGAACTCAGGCCCTTGTGCTTGCCAGGGAAGCATTTATTCCACTGAGCCATCTCCCCAGCCCCTGCTACAGCTTAGTTTTAGATAGAGCAGTAATTGTGTACAACAATAGGACTGATTTACTTGGGTGGCTTGGAAATCATTTTCATTTAAGTGACAGTTGAGTTTTACACAGAGCTGTTGACACCTTGAACCTCCTTCTCCTGCCTCATGTGAATTATTCTGTCTATATATATATTTTTTTTACCTGGTACATAGAACACAAAATTAACTCGAACTAAGCAAAATTTAATTTCGTTTTTTGGGGGTTTTTTGCAAAATTTAATTTTGAAGCCAGCAATGGAAGAGTATTTTGGTGTTTCAGGTCTTGCCCAGTTAGGAAGAGCTACTGTCTTTTGCCTCCCTAGCATGGCATCTTTTGGTAACAGAGGTAGGAGAACTAACACTCCCCACCCGTCCAATGTCAAATGTGCTGAGTTTGTGGTCCCACGACATTGAAGAATGAAGTCATGAACCAAAGGAAGAAGTTAGGGAAGTTTTATTGGAAATAATGAGAGAAAACAGCTTCTGAATTTCCAAGAGGGGTTCCAAATGGGGTGGTGGCTCCTTGTGAGGGGTAATTTATGCAGCAAAAGCACAATGTATGGGCCAAACTACAACTAATCCCTAGGATTAAAAGTAGAACCACTTAGCTAATATTGATCCAATAGGGGCCGCATCACACAGCAAGAGTACATGGAAAGAACAGAGGCATTCTGGGGAAGGGATGGGTCCACCCACCTGTGCACTTGATGCCTAACTGGACTTCCTGGATCATGTGATACTGATTACAGTGTAATTTTAAGTTACTGTTTATTCTTTAGAGATAGACATAGGCCTTTCTTTTTTTGTGGAACCTGGGACTGATCTCAGGCCCTTGCGCCTGCCAGGCAAGCACTTATTCTACTGAGCCATCTTCCAAGCCCTTAGGCCTATTTTTTTCTTCTTTTTTGAGATAGGGTCTTGCTGTGTAGTTCAGGCTGGCCTTGAACTTACTATTATAGAAATATAGATATGAGACAAAAGCCAAATGTCCCAGGGGAGCAGGGAGCAACAGACAGAGCCCAGGGAGAGCTGCTGTCTGTCACCTGTAAATTCCTGGAAAGCTGGGATTCAAGGCTGCAGATAACAGCTTCTCCTGCTGGCGCCCTGCTCTTTGATCCCTTGCTTGGGATATTATGGGCTAGCATTTGTGTGGACCTAGTGTTAGGCAAATAGTGGAAGTTAATTGAGATAGTAATTTGTATTCACGGGACCGGGGAAATGGCTCTGTAGAATAAGCGCTTGCCTGGCAAGCACAAGGGGCTGAGTTCAAAACGGCAGATACACACACACACACACACAAAAAAAAGTAGTTTGTATTCACTTAAGTAATTATGCACATTCCTTAGCCTGCCTTTAGCCCTCAATAAATGTGAGGTGCTTGTGAGGCTCTGGGCTCACTTGGAGAGAGACTCATCTCAGTGAGACCTCTGAAGCTAGATTCACCAGGTCTTCTCGTCCGTTTCTTTCGGCACCGACACATAACATACAACACACTATGCAGTCCAGGTAGCCTTGAACTTGAGGCAATTCTCCCACTTTAGCCTCGTGAGTGCTGAGAGTATAGGTGTGCAAACCTTCTCCTGCAGTTGTATCTTTATCCTGAGGCCCGGCCTTCTTCAGATTCATGGCCAGCCACAGTTTGGATGTCTTTATTTTAATGCTGATGCCCTCGAGGGCTCAGACCCTCTAACTATATATTAACTTTTTTTTTTTTTTTGCGGAACCGGGGATTGAACTCGGGGCCTTGCGCTTGCCAGGGAAGCGCTTTTTCCACTGAGCCATCTCCCCGGTCTCAATATATTAACTTTTACCTGACTTAGCTGCCTGTAAAAACAGCACCCTGCCCTTAGGTTGTGGGATCGCCTTGTGGATTTGACAGCTCTGGAGAGAGCACATGAGTGGTCCCTGCCTCTTCTCGGTCCCCAAGATGACAATGGTCTCAGGAATGGGCACCTGTGCCACTCCAGGGCTGTGAGAAGCCCTGCTGGATTCTTCTCCACAGTTGCTGGGAAGGGACAAGCCCATCCCTGAGAGGAGCCTGCCTGTACTTATGGCCAACACAGCGGAAAGTGGAGGTTAGTATTAGGAGAGATTCCTGATGTGGCTTAGCGGCCACGTCTATCGGTGGACTGCTGAGTCCCTGACGTCAGCAGCTGAGCCCTGGCTAAGCTTTCCCATGATCAGAAAGCCTAAGTGGAAGAGGGACCATGGTTGCCTGTCTACTCGTTTATTCCCTTATTGGACATATATTATGAGGTAGGATAGAAGAAATAAAGATTGGGAATAAAGAGACACGGAAAGTCAGAATTTTGGAATTGTACTTTTTGGAAAAATTGCAGCTTGGGAACACACGTGTCATTTAAAAGATTTTCCCTTCCAGGAAATTCACTTTAAAAAAAAAAATTCTTGGGGCTGGTGAGATGGCTCAGTAGTCTAAAGCACCTACTTAGAACAAGCTTAGCAAAAACAAAGGGACTGCGGTTCAATCCCCCAGCACCACATGCCAGCCAGCCTCGCCCCCTGGTGGGCTGAGCTGGCCACACAAATAAATTAATAAATAAATAATTAAAAAAAAAATTCTTGAGAGCCTGAAAGACATAATAAACCTGTAAATTGGGGTTTTGGCCTGTGGTTTTTGCCTGTGACACTTTCTCCCACACATTTCCACCCACGTGAAGCATCAGCGGGCAATAGATCTCAGCCTCAAACCAGTGGAGAAGGTTTTCATCCTGACACAGCAGGTTGGTAAACCGACACACACATCCCAGATTACCCATTCTAAAGAATCCAAGCACTTCAGATACACCTGGCCCCAGGTCAGAAGGTGCCCCTCTCTCTACTTGAGTGTGTACTTTTAAAATGTCTGCCTAGCAGTAAATCCCTGTATGCCTCTTACAGACGAGTCCTGAGATTCTTCTTCCATAACGGAGTCAGTGAACCTACAACTTAACTCTGTGGGGAGGGCTTGTTGGGAGGCCCCATGGACTCTGTCTAGCAGGGTGTGTGTTGCTGGACATCTGGGCAAGTCTCCAGCCCGAACCTGCCTGCACCCTAGGCCTTGGTGACTTCCAAACATGGGGTCCTCTGGGGTCTCCTGGTGGTCACCCAGTTCCCTTGTTCTGTGTTTGACTGGGACAGTAACACAGCCCCCTTCTAGATACTGGCCAGTCCCCTTAAAATACCTTCCTCCTACTCCCTCTTGAGGAAGTAAGAACAGAGCTTGAAATTCAAATTGGGCTACAAAGATGGTGGGGAGGGGGCTTTAGCCTATCCCTGGATATTCAGCTTATCCCACCTCATAAGCATCACTAAAAGCTTCTTTCCAGGCTTTAAGGAAGCCCGAGTCTTCCCAGCCTGGTCATGACAGTGTGCTACATATGATAGAGCTGGGTCTCTCTCTCTCTCTCTCTCTCTCTCTCTCTCTCTCTC